AATAGGGGCCGAAAAAGTCGACTGTACCTCGTCCCATACTAGAGCGCGGAGGTCCATTGAGCCCGCGTCACCTGACCTGGTCGAGGAGACATTTGTTCCAGTCGGGCTCCTGGGCTCGCGAGCCGTGTCCGCACTGTCATGTTGCTGGTTTTCGAGGCCAGAGCAGACCTCACTACCATGGGATAACTATGACAGCTGACGGTCTTGTAAAAATATAAATACTTTTATTTCCTTTCGGGTTCAAGCCGCACTGGTAAAGCTCGCCGCGGAGGGCTTGGCAAGTCATTGCCTTCACAGTGTCTACAGTTAGGTCAGGTATGCTGAAGAAATACAGTGTCGAGGTGACATTCGGGCTGACAGCAATGTTACGAAAGGAAAAGGAAAACTAAAAAGAAACACTGCTGAAGCACGATCTGTTGTCTGCAGGAACACAATGGGGCAAGCAAGATGTGTTTTCTTTTCAGAAAGACACGCTGGGTGTCATTTGTAATTACGCAGCAAAGCAAAGCGCATAACGTCAGTCTTGATTGCAGTACAAAGCTAACGAGTACTAGCACAGCTTTTATGTAGTTACCCTATATTCTCAATATGCAGAAGACGTTACTTCAGTAACGTCTGGCGCTAGCCAGGGTCCACACAGCTTTAATTCCCTTTTTGTGTGTTTGTGCCGTCGGCATGCCTGGCGCTATCTCGTGCCTGTCCCGTACCGTACCATCAAAGACAGCTGGCCACAATATTCAAACAGGGCTATCAAATGCAAGATCGTAATGTGAATCAACTTGGAAGAATGAGTAGATATGCGCAGTGTATCGGGGGGAATGCATGCAGGGCGATAGTGCGGTTTCGAATCCCAGGTCATGTTCTGAAAAAAAATAGGAGAAATGAAAAATGTATAACATCCCTATGCTTCTTTTGCTTAGGTCATCAAGGTGGTAGACGGTGTCGTATTACCCTCGAATGCAAAGAGAAAGTTTATTTCTTTCGCTCAGGGTCCTACCGTATGCTTTTTTGCCTAGCTCATCATGCATGCTATTCGAACAGATGGAACGTTTTGCAGTACAATGATGTAGCGAATCAATTCGTCGTGGTATGGTTGGGAATTGTAGCCGTCATGGTGGATGTAAACACTATTTGCATACACAAGCTCGGGGAGCAAAAGTCTCCCTGTCCCAAACGCTGCACGTACCAACTAAATAACATGCACTTCACACGAGCTGACTTGCACGTGTGGCCCTTTTCACGAACCCAGAAAAAAAGATTCGTCTATTATAACGCATGTGTGAAGTCACTAGATTACACCCGCACCAGAGATGAAAGGCGATCGAGCTGTCGCGGAAGAAGCCTAGAAGGGCAAACGGAAAAGATACCTGGCGCTATCCCGTGCCTGTCCCGTACCGTACCATCAACTGGGGCGTCACAGGTTTCTGTGAGTGGTATGACGGGGTAGGGGGTGTCCCCTGAGAAAAAAATAAGGATTTTTCGGCTAACAGGCCACGTTTTAGCACTCTACAGCCGCAAAGGAGGGTTCCCCTAGCACTTATTAGACAAACATACATACTCCAAAAACATACTTCTCATGGATTTTTGGGTATTTTCTGTACATTGTAGTTAGCCAAGCAAGGCAAAAGGAACCCATTGCCCTCGAAAAATCGCAAAATCCGAAGTACAAGTGTGCTGCCCGTTCTAGCACCAGCCGCTGTCCAAAAACGTATGTTATGTTCTGCACAAGTCCGCAGTGTCGCATGCACTATGTACACGGCCGGCCTGGACAGTCGCAAAGTAATACTTTGGTTGTTTTTAGAGAGAGAAGAAGATCCTTTTTTATTCGGTGGGATCGAAAGATCTGCCAGTGGACCGAAGAGCTACAACACTGGAAGCAGAAGAAAGGGCTTGCGGAATCTTCTCTGTCTTCGTGGCAACAGGACTTTAGTTTGCGAGAGACTTTCGTCCTGTCGTCGCAGACGCAATTCTTGCTGCTGCTACCAAAAAACTCGGAGAACGAAACGATCGTAAATCGTTGGGTGAAGCGGGTCGTGTCGGTGAACAGCTGCAGAATATTTTGCCGCCGTGGAGCAGCAGTCCAAACACTTTTCTAGTTCGGAGAATGAAGCGTTTCCCTTTTCCATTGACAAGCGCGGCTTTCGCGGGTGTAATGCATTTTCGCATTAGCTTGCAGTAGATCGTCAGGAGCCAGAAGTACTAGGTAGGTGTCGTTGTGGAAAGAATATAATTATGTTGTACCTGACAAGTGACATACATGTAGTGTCTCTTGACCGTGCTGATCGCCATTTTAACACGGTAGATCTTGGACATTTTTAGTTCTGGACCCAGTGATCGCCGCCAGCTCAGCTCTGTTTCTGTCAAGTTTTCAGTGAATGCGTCCGTGAGGAATCCATCGTCTGGTTGGTCCTACCCATGACTCCAACCGCCTATCGTAATGGATAGTCGCCTGGAGTCTTGGGCAATAACTAACTGCTAGTGCTAGGCATCAAGTCTGTATGCTCCTCCTTGCAATGAAAGTAATTTGTTGCGATGTTTTGTACAAGTCCGAAGATCCTTGAATTTTTTATTGCTTTTTCGATGAATTGGGCGGACTATCCTGGACGAAAAGTGGTACGACCATGGTGGTAGTGGTCGTGCCGTGTGTGACGCCCTTGATCAAAGACAGCTGGCCACAATATTCAAATAGGGCTTTCAAATGCAAGATCATAACGTGAAGCAACTTGGAAGAATGAGTATGTAAGCGAAGTGTATCGGGGTAATGCACACCGGACGATAATGCGGGTTCGAATCCTTGGTTATGTCTTAAAAAAATATAAAAAATACATAACACCTCTATACACAACATCTATACATAACATCTCTATGCTTTTTTGCCTAGGTCAGCAAGGTGGTAGACGGTGTTGTATTACCCTCGAATGCAAAGAGAAAGTTTATATAACCCAATAAATTCTGCAATCACTTTTGCCTAACTCATATTCAAACTGATTGTATCGTTTGTGCAAAACAATGATGTAACCAATCAATGGAAAAAAATATGTCCATCAGTTCCAATAACATGCATGATGAGCTAGGCAAAAAAAGCATGGTGTATGGCCCTGAGCTTCCAAGCTCTCTCGTTAATAATTCTTTTTTCAAACGGGTCCAAGTAACCCGCCTCCCCCCCCCCCCCCAGCCCCCCCCCCCCCCCAGTTTCGCTGACCTGCCTGAACCGGCACTGGAGCTGATACTACTCAAAGCCCATAACCAACTTAATTGAAGACCAACCCATCTCAGATGCTAAGTACAGTAAAACCTGTAACTAAAGACCACCGTGACTAGCGACCAGCCTGGTACTAAAGACCACTTCGTCAGGCACGGAAGGTCTCACATTCATACATGGTTGGGTGGTGCAAACCTGTAATTAAGGACCACCTGCCACTAAAGACCACTTTCTCTGGCCCCAAGGGGTGGTTGTTAGTCACAGGTTTCACTGTAGAAGGCATCAATTCCCTACGAATTCTTCATCCATAAGGATGCGGAACTCTCTATGCCAGTGCCGGTGTTGCCTTTACTAACTAAGGGAGCATCTCATAAGTTCTCATTTTATTTGAAAAAAGTATCGCATTTCGAATAGACTTTACCCCCTACCTCCCCCCTCCCCCCCTCTATTTGAAGGTCTTATCGCACATTATCTGTGTAGATCTACTGTACCTGTGTTCATGCCTCATGCTATGGTATGTACATGTCTACAGCATTGGGTATGTATATGTGTACAGCATTGGGTATGTACATGGATATGAATGTTTTGCTAGTGAAGTACTGTAGTGCATCCAGTAGTTACATTCATTACTGAAAAACATCTTCAGATATCTTCAGATGTGACGTTAGACGTCCGTCATGATTTGTTGGCTTTCACTTGGCATCTACTTTTCACCTATCTTTGTCACTACCTCAGTACCATTTGTGACGTGTAAGCTAGCGCAACCTATTCCTGTGTACCTCTTCTTCTCGGTGTGAATGATTTAGCACTTGTGATAGTTGTGTCTGGTAGGGTTCAGAACACCTCCATTCTGCACTATACCTTTTGTGTTGATATTTCACATATGTGAGTTAGTTGAGTGTTTACACCTCAGTGCGCCAATATCTTTTCTATAAAAATAATAGCATTTTTCAGCTAAACCCCTTCATTCAACAACTGCTTCTCCTCTGATGAGTTCCCTGTTATTATCTCCATGGAACGAAACAAGACTTGTCAGGAGTACTACTACTTGCTTTCGTGGAGTGTGGCTGATGAACTGTTCGTGCTGTGATCGGCAAGCGTCGTGTGGTCTCGTCCGGTCAAATGAACAACCTATTACTATTCATAACTGAGTACAAGAACAATCAATGACGTGTAGTCATCAATGGTCATGTACACACATAAATGTACATGTAGTTCCTCCAATTCCCCCTCCATAACAGCTGTGCATGTACAGTGTACAATGTCAATGTACTGCTGTATAAAAAGCTGGCCAGGTACACCGTTTGATCAGGCTGGTGTGACATTTGACACCTCTGAGTAGCCTGCATGCATGCATACAGTGCAAGGGTTAGCTGATCTGCAAACACAGGTAGATCCACACCTAAACCATGTAAACACAGTTATCTGAAGCGATCTAGCGCATGGACAGCACAGTGTTGTACACTTCCAAAAAAAAGTGCGAACTGTCATTTTTCTATTCGAAAAGGGCGCTACCCCCCCCCCCCACACCCCCGTTTCGAAATGCCTTACGTTTAGAAAAAATGCGAACTTATGAGATATGTGTGTGTTTGTGTATGTATATGTGTGTGTGTGTATGTATGTGTGTGTGTGTGTGTGTGTGTGCGCACGCGCTTGTGTGCATGTGTGCGCATGCACATGCGCGCACATGCGTGTATGTGTGCATGTGTATGAATCTGCATGTGTATGCATGTATGTGTATGTGTTTGTGTGTGTTTGTGTGTACATGGTTTGTATTCATTAACGATGCTACATCCAGATTGGTGGGACACCACTCCACCTTGCAGCATCCGGAGGTCATGTGTCCGTACTAGAATGTCTGTTGAATGCTGGACATCCGTTGGAAGCGAAAGATTTGGTAAGTCAGGATATCCCTCGTGCATGCTTGTTTGTGTGGGAGCAGAAAAGAAGGATTACCGTACTTTCGCGATTAGAGCCCTCTCTTGAATAGTGCTCTATGTTGAAGAGTGCCCCAGTCTCTATGAGCATGTGAAAAAAATATATAGCCCTCCCTTGGATTGTGCCCCCCCCCCCCTCTCCCCCCGGCTTGTAACCAAGCGCATGTGCACGTTTTGAGTTCCAGGCCATGTGATAAGGGTCGTACTGACGTAATGTCCTGACACTTCCCGGACTTGCCATTTTGCCTCACATGTCGCTGAAAGGCAACATTTTTTTAATTCTCGACCGAACGATATGAACGAACACAATTTCCTTGGAAACTGCACACAAACCTTGCACCTAACCACATCATCCCTGCCTGATCATCTTTGCATCTCTCATACTCCCCGTCGAAAGGTCCTTGTCACGCTCAGCAGTCCACTTGTCAAAAATGGTGGCACGCACAGCGCGGAGCTTCGTGCCATGAGGAGGGCCACCATGGCCGCCTTTTCTCTTGCCAATCCTTAAGGACTAGAACTGATCTCAGAAAATTCGAAATCGGCATTCTTGCACATACTTCTCCCACGATAAGTTGAATAACTCCACTAATAACTTGTAGGTCGATTTTCACTATCTCTGACTTTCTGTTAGGCTCTATCCATAAGTAATACATTTCCTGTAGACATGACAAGCATCAACGTAAATGTACAGTGAGGGAAGCAATGTCAATTGCTAGCGAAATACACATCGCAACGCAATTCCCTCAAAGTTTATCGTAGAGCACTGGGATTTTGCAAAGACCTCTGGATTCCGGTAGCATGATTTTGGTCATAGCACCTGGCTGGCTAGGGACGCGCAAAAATGGACAAATCCCCAGCTGAAGTGCATTTTACAAGCTCATAATACAGCTTGAGATATAGCCCGACTACAGGACCTTGGGTCGCGTTCGTTCGGGTTTCTTCAAGACGACAGCTGAGAGTTTTCTGTTGCCGATAGATCTCAGTAGTATGTATAAAGCCGGTTCTGTGAGAGGTACATGATCCAGCCCGAAAAAATGGGGTTCTATTGATAGTACCCCATTTTTGGGGTAAAAACCGGGCGCTGGTTTTTACGTTAAAAATGATTTTTCGGGTGAAGGGTGGATTGTACCCCACCTTTTGAATTTGAGATCTTACGTGCCTATGTACGTGAAAAGAGACTTTGTGAAGAAGAAGAAGAAGAAGAAGAAGATCAAGAAGGGGAGGAAAACTGTGTCATCATCTCGATAATGTTGTTCATGAAGGAAGATACGTATGTTCTTCTTGTGGACTTGTCATGGATGTGGTTTACTTACCTGAAGTTGATGTGCATAAGAGATGTAGTTTGATGAAGAAGCCTTACGCTGCAGATGAGCGGTTATGTGGTGTGGATCGTCATCTTTTGCATTTTCTTTCGAAAACTGAACTCTTATCCGATCAGCTTCGTGTACACCCTCTTCGAGAGCAGATATGTGCGATGAAGAAGTCCTGTTTGTACAAGAGTACAAACTATGCTATAGCATTATCCTGTAAAGTAGACGATACGAATGTGGATGCATTACGTAAACTGCATTCTTATTTACCTCATAGCAATTTATCCTGGTTGAGGTTCAGTCGAATCATGAAACCTCTTCCTCAGCATTTTCCACTCCTATACATACTGCATCTCATGGAGTCGACCAGGATGGAGTCTTCATTGCAACTGTTCACGTTGCGTTCGAATTTGCTGCTTTTATCCCCATCTGATATATCTCTTATGACATCATTGATTGCTGCTTATTGCTGGGAAACCTATTCAGTTGATCACGTGATCCAGAACATGCACACGTTTGACTGTGATCTTCTTTCCATACTGTATCAATTCACTAAGGTGGCGGTATCATGTAAGGAATCTTTATAACGAGATATGATTTTGGCGGGCACGATGCTGATTGATCAAATGTTTTTGGCGCGCTTGATGCTGATTGGTGAAAAGTTTTTGGCAGGCTTGATGCTGATTGGTCAAATGTTTTGGGCGGGCTTGATGCTGATTGGTTAACACATATCTTATCATTTCAATCCACCTCCCTCTCTGACTCGTATAAATACGAATGATTGTCCTGCAGTTGAGTCATTCGTTCATCGTGAGTTGTCCTGACTTCACTTCCTAGAAGATGGCTTCCCTATACGAGCGACAGATGAAGAAGAATTCCGCTCTTCCTGCTGACCCTCCTCGAGTTGTGCTCTCTTCGAAGCCAGTACCGGCTAAGCGTCGCTATGTATTACCTGCTTCTACCAAGCTCCACAAAGAAATTGTGGTGGATGGGTTTCAGGAGGATATGCAGCTGTCCTACAAGTTATCGGGTGAATCCTTCTACAAACCTGGTTATAAGATGTACTTCCCTTCGGAAGCTCTGCCAGCCTGTGGTAGTATGGCAACAGCCCGCAAAGATGCTCAAGGACAAGTTTACATCGAACTGAACGAGTCCAAAGAGTTCATCATTACGAACTTGATCAAGACTTGTCCATCGCTCCGTGACACTCTCCGAAGTGGACGTGTGGAGAAGATCAAGACCAACTTCTACACATCACGTTCGTCCGACGGTCAATGTCGGGTGAACATCAACGGTGAAAACAAGCTAGTCCCGACCAGCTCGATCAAACTGGATGTGGAACAAGATGTACTCATCTACCCCGGGGCAGTCTCCCTCGACACTGACGAGCAAGTGATTAAGGTACGTCTTGCTGTTGCTCCAATCATCTGCATCAACGTGGAACCCAGATGTTTTCATCGTGCTCTGGACGCACACATGACACTTTCTATCACGGAACTGAAACAGCTGACTGAGAGCTTCACATCATTATGAAGTGTCGTCGTCCAACAAGACGATCAGCTGGTAGAGACCTTCCAATAAGTCTTTAATGAACTGCCTTCTTTACCACACAGCTGATCATTCATTCTTATTCTATCCTATACTATCCTATACTACTTTCTACGGCAATATCTCATGATACTCATTAAAAAAAACTTCTAAAGAACAAGTATGGGTGGTGTCGTGTCGAGTAGTACGTCCACGGAAGAGTGCTGCCTTACCTCTTCGGACTCTAGTATCCCCCACTGCTACTAGTGGAGAATGGGTTGCAGGATGTGAAAAGAATGGAATTGGGAAAGATGAACCAGGGTCATCTCATTTGCACACCATCAAGGAATGCGTCATTCATGACAAGATCAATCACCTGCTAGTACGAGTTGCTGACCATGTTCTTGCGACATATGCAAAGGATGAAGGTGAATGCTCGGAGACTCGTCATGACATTGACCATTTGTTCGTTCGTGATTCGACATTGTTTCACACGTGGACATCTGCTTAACATGTTGCTATGAAGAGACCTGACATTCTCAAGTATGCTGTGAGCTTTACTGTTGGCGATGGTGATCGTGAACAAGCTGAACGACTTGAAAGTTGCATATGCGGCATCATGGAAGGTTTATGGAGTCATGCGTCAAACGACATCGTTGCCCTGGAGATGACCTTTGCATATTCAGTGACTCTATTGGACATGCTGGCACGGAAAGGCGATCGTGCGAAGGTGTTGTTAGCGCGAGATTTCCTCATGAAACACATCCATGCTCAATCGAGGAGGAGGATGAATGGTCCACTCATCAACACGATGACTGTGGCCCTTGTTTTCTGTGCATTGCCTATTGTTTACCTGTTCTTATGAGCATCATAAAGTTTTTTTGAGAAAGAAAATATTTCCTATCATAATTAGTACAGTGTTTGTGTGTGTGTGTGTGTGTGTGTGAAGGTGGCGTACTGGGCTACGCATTTCCATAGGAGTGATGGTGACGAGGCCTCCCTCAAACACATGCAAAGCATGCGGAATGACATTGTCAAGATGCAATCGGTTGTGGGGAACGATGACACCGAAAACACCTTGGTTCGTAATGTGGAGAAACTGAAAATGATGAGAAAGCCGATGAGAGCAAAGTGGAAGATGTGGAAAACAGATCTACGCGCTACACAGATCAAGCCATAGCAGCTGATGAGCTGCACGTTAAAACAGACAGATCCGTGTCCATGAATGCTAACCTTGACATGAACGAGCATTCCATCTGTAATTAGGCGTACGATGATAGCTCTTTGACATGTGCTGTCCCTGTCGGTTGGGTCAAGAATGAAATCCGTCAATCATCTTCGAGATTGCACCACGATATCGACGCTGTGCGCACGATGAAAGGTCCTCGTGGTGATCGGGGATTGGGATGGCTTAGCGGAGGTGGCATGCTATTGAACTCTATAGGGAGAAATGGTGACTTCTATCTCGATGCAACCACGCTCATCATGTACAAGAAATTCAGCTCGAAATGGATGGCTTTCAGTCAGCTTCATGGATCAAGAGGTGAAGATGGTCCACGTGGAGAACGTGGATCGATCGGTCCCGAAGGTGAGACTGGAATTAGAGGAACTAATGGGCAAAGTGGTGAACGCGGTCAAAAAGGTGATCAAGGAATACCTCGTCCAGAAGGTCCCAGAGGTGAAGTTGGAGAACGTGGATTAGTCGGTCCTGAAGGTGAGATTGGACCTAGAGGCGAAGATGGACAAGACGTCCCACAAGGTGAACGTGGTGTGCAAAGTGATCAAGAAGCTGTAGGTCCCGTGGGTCCCCAAGGAACCATCAGTGCAACCGGTCCTCCAGGAAACAGAGGTCCTGTGGGCCCCCAAGGAATCATCTGCCCAGGTCCTTCAGGAGCCAGAGGGCCCGTGGGTCCGCAATCAAATCAGAACCTATCCGATCCGTTTCATCTATTACCTCACATTCGGAGAAACGCTTACCTCTACATATACTCTCATCCTAGCAGATTTGAATCCGTCAACAGGGTGAGCAGAAAAAGATACAGAGGGGAAATCTCGTTGATTTGAAGGACAAGACAATCAACGTGAACAGCATCGACATGTTCCGAGACGGTCACTTCTACCTC